AACAAAAATAGTACCGTCTACAGGAGCAGTATCATTAGATAAAGTACCGGAAAAAATGTTGGTAATTGGTGGTGGCATTATTGGACTTGAACTTGGTTCTGTATGGAGTCGTCTTGGTGCAGAAGTAACTGTTGTTGAATATCTTAGTTCAATTGGTGCAGGAATAGATGGCGAATTAGCGTATGTTGATTTAATTAAATAATTAATATATATATATAAAGTATTTTAGAAATAAGAGAAAATGTAAAATATATTGGTAAATGTTATTATATAGTAAATCATTCTCAAAAATACTTCAAAAACAAGGGCTTAAATTTAAACTAAATACAAAAGTTATAGATGCATCAAAAAAAGATGGCAAAGTTTATGTAAATGTTGAAGCATCCAATGGAGGTACACAAGAATCAGTATGTAGCTTTGATTCACATAATTATTTATTCAATATTAAAATTAATAATAATTTTTTTGGATAATAATTTCTAAAAAAAAAGTTTTTTATTTAATAAAAATAAAGTTAGAAGCTGATGTTGTACTTGTTTCAATTGGAAGACGACCTTATACTGAAAAACTTGGTTTAGAAAATGTTGGAATTGATGTTGATGATAAAGGAAGAATTAAAATCGATTCTCATTTTAAGACTAATCATTCACACATCTTATGTATTGGTGATGTTACTTATGGTGCTATGTTAGCTCATAAAGCCGAAGAAGAAGGTTTATAAGCATTACATTATTTGTTTGATATTTGAAACCATAATAAACAAGCAAAAGCTTATCCGGTTTTATTTTTTTTTTTTTTATGTTAATTAAGGCATAGCTGCTGCAGAATTTATTGCAGGTGGATTTGGACATGTCAATTATGACGTGATACCTTCAGTAATTTATACACATCCAGAAGTTGCATGGTGTGGTAAAACTGAAGAACAAGTTAAAGAAACCAAAAAACCATATCGTGTTGGTACCTTTCCATTTGCTGCAAACTCACGTGCACGAACAAATGACGATTCTGAAGGAGTAGTTAAGATTATATCTGATGAAGAAACTGATCTAGTGTTAGGAATTCATATAATTGGACCAAATGCTGGTGAAATGATAGGTGAAGCTGTTCTAGCTATGGAATATGGTGCAAGTAGCGAAGATATAGCTAGAACTTGCCATGCACATCCAGTTAGTATTTCTATATATATATATATAAAAGAGAATAAAATTTAAATTAATATTCTAATTACAGTTTATTTTGGGGATTTTTTTTTAGACATTATCTGAAGCATTCAAAGAAGCTGGTACGTGATCATAATCATTATTATTGATACTGACGTTAATATATATATATGTATAATATTCCTCATTTTATTT